GAGCAATGCATTTTTCATTATTACAACTTAATTTACAGAGAACAGACTGATGTAAAATTGCTTCCATATGTCCCCGCTGCGGGGCGCCACAGAGTCTGCCAGAAAAGCTATCATAATTTCCGAAGCGAATTCCGCATTGTGATTGGCTAAGACGAACTGCAGGAGCTGGAGCGCTGAACCAATAGGAATGCGGGACTGTGATTCTTTCATTTGAGTGGCCAAACGTGGATGTCAATCAAGCAGCAACGAGCTCTGAAAGCAGAGAGCGGCCAGTCGGTTGTTTTGCTCTCTAGAGAGCAGACCTCCGCTACTGAGACCATCCAGGCACAATCACACACACACTCTACTGCATGACCACTGACACACACTGGACACATTCTATTGCATTTTCATTTAAGAAGTTCAAATAATAATAATAATAAAAATATATACTATTTTGTTATTGAAATAAATAAATATATTTAAATACTTAGTTGTACGATTAATTATCATTTAGACTATATCATGATCAATCGTTACTATTATTTTATCTCAATAAAACAAAAATCTCAAACACTGGCCGTTAATTAGACACATATTTATGGAATATTTTTAAAAATTTAGAAATAATTATCGTCACAATATACAAAGTCAGAAAAGTTTATGATGAAGGGGTTATTTTATTTGCTTCAGACATTTACTGAAAGATGAAATTTTTATTTTGAAATTATTATTTTGTGTATAATTGTATCGCCTTTTCAGTCATTTTATATATGAGCTGTTTTTAAATAGAAACGTTATGAGTTTTTTTATATAGGAAAAAAACATTTTACAATTATATATAAAGATATCTATCTATATATATCTACATCTATATATCTATATATCTATCTATATATATATATATATCTATCTATATACATACATATATATATATATATATATATATATATATATATATATATATATATATATATATATATATATATATATATATATATATGTAGGGTCAGAGTAGTGATCTGTCCGCTTTGCTAATTAAACATTTTCATTAAATCTGTTGGGCCATTTAATCAAATGATCGGTATAGTCTGTGCTTGCATTGCTTACAATGTTCACACATTTTTCACAGACACAAAAAAGTGACTATCCAAATGTATTTTTTATGTTTTATATTTTTGCTGTGGTATTGTTAACTTGTAAATAAATAAATAAAACAAAATAAAATAAAGGCAACAAATCCTTTTAAAGGTTAAAAACGTAATATGAGATTTCATTTGTGAAGCGGCTTCAGCGTGGCCCGCACTCTGCATACACTAAAATCTGGCCAAGGTCACTGCAAAAACAATTACAAAACAATTACAACACCTCCCGTAAAACCTGAAAAAGAATGACAAAGTAGTCCGCTCAAGTCACCGCGAGTTCCCTCACGTTTCCCATGAGTCTTTGCGTGGACTAAATCGTGCGCACGCGCACTGATATCCCTCAGATCGCGTTTAATTCCACCAATCAGCGTCGTCCTCGGAGGAGCATGTGGGGGTGATTTAAGAGCTCTGCCCCAATAAAACTGTCAGAACTTCACAAAGTTGATTTAAATGTGTTTCACATCGTTATGAAAATACTCGCGGATTAATCAAATGACTGCACGCTGGCGTCAGATCAATTGGAGCAGATTACCATTCGCAGCTTCTTTAGGGAGACGTGATTTGGAGCGTTTAGATTCTCTACACATCCGGCCACCAAGTCGATCCGACAGCTGACATAAGATGGACAGCAAATGTCATATTAAGGGCCTTTTCTGATTTTTCTTCTTTCTTTTTGTTTGTTTGTTTTTCTTTTTGGATATTGATTTTTATTCTATATTCTGTGACTCCTACATCATTGAAGTAGATCCTGCAACAGTGTTGCAGCTGCATCCTCGGGGAAGTTTGATGTTGCCAATTTTCAGATAAGCCCACCATCGCACTTGTCTTCTAGATTTGTGTGTGTGTGTTCTGCAGGGGGAGTGAGGGGGAGGGAGGGTCGACTGTCTGCTGCTGGGAGAGAGCCCAGCTGACAGGCAGTGCGTGTTGAACTTGATGTGGTGGTGTTGAACTAGGCTTGTTAGAGAATGCGATTTTCTAGACTTCTTTGTGATGCAGCGCCACATAAAAATGTCTGTCCGGGGAAGATTTGCAAAAGGCTTACGGTGGGATTTTCATCCCACGGAAAACTCAATTACTTACAGCACCCACATTCAGACATAAACAAAGTACAGCAGTCTGCTGGTCTTTATACTGTACTACGCGATGGTCACCCAGGGGAAGGTGTTTACAGCGGATTCTTCGACAGCATGTTGTCGCTACTATTATTTATAGTGTGCTGTGAGTAACATATTGGTGCTACTCGTGCAGCTATGAAGGTCACGTCAATTAAAGGAATAGAATCTTAAATGAAATGATAACATTAAAAAACGCATCATCATTCAAAACTCTTGGTCTGTCATCATTTTATCAACTGACGTAAAATCAATACAAAAGAAACAACTGACTTTACAGAGTGTCACGTTCAGTCTTTGATTTAACTTCATAGACAAGTTTGCAGGTCTAATCAACCAGAATCTGCAAAATTTATGAGTCTTTAGTATCAATTACTGCATTTTAAGCAGTAAAACACATTCAAAATACTAATACACGTCGGTTAATTATTAATTACCACTGTTAGACACCAGGGGTCGCAAGTGTACCAGATGGTGGAGGATTACCAACTTTGTGTGGGACTGCAAAGCATATCCACTGTCTCACATAGACACTGGCCTACATTTTGATTAGCTGTAGCCAAAATATTTCAGTTTCAGACAAAAGAAAGGAAAATAAGTAGCTGAAGCAACAGTTCTTCTTACAGCAACTGTAAGAAGAACTCTCACACCAGAACACCACAACTCTCGCCCCAAATTGCTGAGGTCTGCTCACTCAGAAACAACTTTCACTTTTCACTTTCAGCACATTGATGTAAGTCTCACTCTACTTTGCAGTAGTTTTGGTTTTTACTTAATATAGGAATGTTTTGATCCCCCTTCAGGCTACCAATACTTTTGCACATATTTCACAGTTTTCCTCTGCAATACATAACAGTAAATATGTCATTGCTTGATTTAACATTTCTGTTCTGTTGCTTTAATTGAACTTAAGCCTATCTCTAATCACACTACTGACATGAGCTACCTTAAACCTCAGATGACCAGGAATCAGCAAACATGGCAAATATCAGCCAGACATAGAGCCTGGATGTCTGAGACAATCAAGTGTTATTAAATCAACTCTTATGCCACTGCCTTGTGTAATCTGTAACCTTTATCAGTTGTTTTGTAGACATGATTCTCATTGTGTGTTAAGATGTAAAAAAAAAACAAAAAAACAACAACAACAAAAAAACAACCAAAACAAAGTGGGCACAGACAAATACACCACAAATGACAGTTTTTTCATCAAAGTCTCTTTTACACTAGAAATTAACAGTGCAGTGCCTTTGCACAGTATTGTTCTTACAACTGGAAGACGGAGAAAAAGGAGAACCTAGCATAGCATAGTGGCTGAGCAATGTGTGAAGGAATTATTGTAACTTAACAGTTAACATGAGGGCTGACTGAACATATTCTGACAGACCACTTGGAAAAGATAGTGGCTACAAAGTCAAAGGAAAGCTACAGCAGACCTAAGAAATAATAACAGGAGGTGGATTGTCATTTCCTTGTGTATAGGGCAAATAATCATGGGTTGAAAAACATGTTAGGGAATGACTTCACCTTTATGTCAAAACAACCATTTAAACAAACAAGAAACCTATCAGAGATACATACACAGTCACACAGACAGATATACACATATGCATAACAATAAATCATAAAATCCTGTTACACACAAAAAACAGAGTAATATGAAATAAAGACATAAACACAAAGATAAACACAGTGGTGTTATTACTAAGTGGGAGGACTAGTTAAATGCAAGATTAAAAAGGTATCTTTAAGAGTTTCTTGATATTATCCGTAACTATCTGAGCTTTCTTCTCCAATATGTTAAGGTACACTTTTCCAGAGCTTTGTTTTGTTTTTTCAGAAACTGGGAAAGCTGCATTCCCAATTTTCCTCTGTGGGGTATTGCTATTGTTAGCTATCGCATAGCTAACAATTTGGCCTTGGAAGATCTAACAGAGTGAGTAAGTAGAGTGACAGACTTTCAGATAATGTTCAAGACCTTCTTTCAAATGACATGAGTATCCTTTCCTATATAATAAGCATTCATAAACATTGCTGAATTTAGAATTGCTTCTTCAGTGAAAGTAGGAATATTACAATGTATGTGACACTGTTACATGCATTCAGTTTCTTACATATAAACAGAGATTTTTTATCACAAAAGTGGGCAAAACATATTTTTTGATGCAGAATGGTCTGTCTTTTCGACATTCTATTATAAAATAGGTCATAAAGCAATAGTCTAAAGTAAAAGCACCTAGAATCTGCGTAGGCTACCTCTCAGCACTGATCATGAAGCCAGTATAAAGTCAGATTTTTTAGAAGGCCAGGGGGTACAATGTACTATGTTTTAAGGATTTCGCCTTTGGCATTCCTCTTTCTTAGTGAGTTGAGTCACGAGGGCCCAGACCTTTGTAACAACTGAAAGTGTAATTCAGTTGTTTACCAGTAGGCTGAAAAAAGGAACAAATGCAGGTCAGTAGCACAAACATAAAGGAAATGCAGCCCAGCCATGCTTCTGAGAAATCCCCTTTACACCAATAAAGCATTATATATTAGAATATGAACCTACATAGAGGAGTACCTCTTGTTTATGCGGTGATTCAACTTTCGTGTAAACAATATTTGTAGTTAATATCAGGGTGGAGGCTGCCTTTATAGAAGCAACTACCCCGTTCTCTTATTGATCAAAAGCTGACGCGACAGGTGTGTTAACCAATCAGAATTTGTTGTGGTGAGCGTTTTGGTCCAATCAGCACGAATTATGCAAATTCCGAAACAAAGTTCCCCCTGTACCAGCACGGTGATTGCAGTGAGCCTCCCATGTTTTATTTTCTGTTTAATTATCGTCGTCAAGAGTGTTGTGATAAGTAGGTATTGCTTATGAATAACTCATCCGCTGCAAGGCGCTGAAGAACAAACTGTTTGTTATGTTTGCGCTAACAGGTTTGCGTTAACCGGTAGAGAAAGCTAACTGCTAAAGCTAGCATAGCTATCTTGCTAGTTCGCCGGTACAGGCGGTCCTCTTTGTCTGACAGGGGAAGGCGTGCTCTTTTGTTAAGCTTTCCCTTTGTCCCTTCGGGAAAGAGGAACTGTTGGGTTGGGATTTCACAATTATCCACAGTTCTGAAAGTATTTAGAAAATGCAGATCGCCAAAAAATACTTTTCAGAAAGCCTGATTCAGTTAACCATCTTGCTCAGTTTGATTGGAGTTCGTGTGGATATCGACAGCTACTTGAGCGGCTATTATACGCCTTTGACAGAGATTAACTTGGGTCCTAGCTCAGCCTACATCCAGACACCGTTTCATATTTTGAGAGACACTTTTGATGGATATGGTGTACACCCAAAATGTCCCGAGTTGGACTATTTTTTTGCAAGTCGTCGGCTGCTGGACGAGGTGAGGACCCTCGGTTCCCCGCGGTTCCACACGCAGTTGAACGCATGGCTGGTGCACGAAGTGCCTGCAACTGACAAGGCTGACTGTGGGCCTTCAACCAGTAACAACACCGAATCTAGCTCAGGGCTAGAAAGTCCTGGCGAAGAATCCAGGGATGTCAGTGAACACCTGCCAGTCAGTGGCCCAGCAGTGTACCAGACAAACATTGAACTCGGACAAGGGCCTTGTGGCGCTGGAGCCTGCGGGTTTCTTAAAGAGGCAAGTTTGTGAATAATATGCCATAAAGTTGTAAAAACTTTGTTTCTAATGAGGCTATAATGTAACCTGCAACAGTGAAGGTGGTCTATCCCTCTAAAGTACTTGATTAACTGAGGTGACAAACGAGTAAAACTTCCGTAATAGCTAGCTTAAGCTATTACTAGCTAACTAGCATAACTAACCGTTGAACTGGAAAGATGGGTGTTATCCAACAACTACGTTATTTTACTGGAGTATTTACTGGTGAACCAGGAAGCAAGTCAAAAAAATATTCTGGAATGCAAATTTATTTTCGTTTTGTCAGGCTCTGTCAGGCCCTTGTCACAAATCACAATCCAGTAATGTGTCTTTAGTCAGATTATGTCACTTACATCCGTAATGACAATGTGTTAACTTGGATAAGTCACCTAATCAGTGTAGTAAGTAACTTAAACATAAAGCTTAATAACATGTCTACCAAACATCATATACTGTATATGCGGCATACAGCTGCCTGCTGCACTTGTCACTCTTTCACTATGGTACTTGTCACATTAAGCAATCTGGGAATAGTAACTATAGAATTACTTCAGCAGAAAACACCATGCAAAGACAGGTGTAACTAATGTCTGTACTTTATGACAACAAATATATTATAACACTGTAATTACAACCTTTATATTCAGTCCTCCTAGTAGTGTAGTCTTTCTAGAGCATGGCAGAAAGAGCTGATTGGTGGATATTGTATCCCAAAGGCAGTTTATGTTGTCAGTTGTGTAACTATATCTCTTTTCTCCTGACCCAACCACCAGCTGCGCCCTTTGAGGGGTGGAGAAGTGAGACTCGGATCCCCACCCTGTTTGCTTACACAAAAGCAGTTTTCCATAGTTAAGCACTGCTCTTCCTAGGGTTGCTTTTCATGTGTATAATGTGATGTTGACTCATTTGTTGTTGATGACAAGAGATGGGTCGCCATACCCCCCCCCCCAAAAAAAAAAAAAAAAAAAATTACAAGCCTTGTTGTTTGTTTTGCAAATGGCCTTAGTGTCTGAGAATATACAATATGCAGGAGCTGTATATAGTTATCCCGTTGAAGGTGTATCAATAACTTTTTGTCATTATTTGGCTTTAGTCTTAGTGTGAAAGCAAAAAGTTTTCTTTCACACTAAGACTAAAGCCAAATAATGACAAGAAGTACTCAAGACCAGTCTAGTTCTGCCCAAGTTCTGTCTGGGCTTGTTGGTCTCCACTTTTCCTGTTTGAACTGGTCTAGGAAGTGAATCAGTTATTGATACACCTTCAACAGGATAACTATATACAGCTCCTGCATATTGTATATTCTCAGAAACAAAGGCCATATAATATATATTTTTAGAACAAATGAGAATTCTATTATATCTTTAATTGGATATATCGTGAACTTTCTAATCTTGGAAGCTGGTGACCTTTATTTCTGTAGGTGTATCAGAGGGTAATTGGCTTAACTTTTACAATGATTGCTTTGTAATCATAAATAAATAATCTAATCTTGTTTATAACAGAATCATCTCATGACAGAAGAGTCATACTGTAAAGACTCAATTGAGATCAATGAACTACCGCTAGAAATGTAACGATGTTTGGAGTTCTTTACTAAGAATTAACAAATTGTTTTTCCTTTTCTTTCCTCTTCACTTCTAAACTGAATTCCCTCCTCTCTTTTCCCTGCCAGGAGGAAGATGTTAAAGTTAAAGAAGAGGAGGAACCTGCTCCAGTCTCTCAGCTGGCTCACAGTTCCACACTGGAACAAGAGGTACTGTTGGCACTCTTTCATGTATTTTAATGACCGTAACAGTGCTGGATTTTTTGTGAGAATACACAGTAGTGTTTGTCCATCTGCAATGATGCATGTATAACGTTGGCATCAATTTTAGGCTGGTTATATTGATTTAACTAGAAAAATCAGGGACTCACATTACATATTTACTGAAATTGCATCATTTTGATGACAGTGCTGTTTTAGTAACACCACAGAATATGATTAGAAAGGTTGAAGCATAGTAATTACAGTCTCACAGGCAGTTCCTTATAGTAAAAAGCTATGCAGAAGCTAAATATAAATTCATTTTTCTTGTTCATTTTTTTTCATCAGTTACTTTGCTATGATTGTATACTGACAACAAAACATATCACTTACTTTTTTAAATTTACATCAGATTTTCTGTGTGTTGTCTCTTTCAGAGCCTGCTGGAAGGCATCACTGCACTGTCCAGTCCAACACGCCATCCCTCTGCTACTCTTGATATTGACCAGCAGTGGAACAATTTACTTTCTGTTGCAGACCTTGATGTAAGTTTCATGTTCATCTTCATGTTCATTAAATTAAGCCTTATATAAAATTACATTAGTTTAGGGACATGCATACAGACACGTGTATTGCAGATTAGAGGTTTAGTTTACCACATTGATCTAACTGTTGTTTTAGAGGATTTTCAAAGTTTTGGAGAATAAAGTTCGACTAATAGGTCTCTCTAAAATATAGGACTTGGACCCCCTTGTGACTGAGCGTCTGTCAGATCTCGACACTGACATCACCAGCGCCATCAGCCGGAATGTCAGTCTGCATGATGCTATGCTAACCAGTCCTGGAGTGTTTGGGTTGGCATCTGATAGAACTGAGCCCAGGACCACGACCCAACAACAAAGGGCTCTCTTTCGAATGGAATCCATAGGCTCTTTAAACTCAGATGCTTCACCTGGGATGGCTCTAGGTCTTGCTGCACTCCCCTTTGCCTCAGTATGTAACATAACAGGAAATGTGTCATCAAATAGTGCACTGGGTGGCTGCCTAGATGAGGCAGTGTTTGACCAGATCAATCAGCTTGGTTTGGAAGGTCTGGACTCAATTGACAGCAGCCTGATGGACTGTTTGGACAGCATAGACCCACGGGTCCTTGAGGACTTGGAGTCAGACTCTGGTCTCTCTTTGGAGAGCAGCTCTGGAGGTCCAGTCTCTCCAGGTTGGTTCAGATTGCTTTCTATACTTGGAAGAGTTACATGTCTTAATTTCTGTTTTATGAAGCTACGAAATTTTCAGTTAAATATGCTGACACAGTCATTAACTCCTCACTTTGTCCAGGCTCATCTGAGATGTCATCCTCATCCAGTTCATACTGCGAGGATGAGTGTGGAGCTACAGGCTACAGCAGTGAGGCAGACTCAATCCCCTCTAAAGGCATTGTTGACTACACCACAGCATGGCCACCTGTTGAGAGTGTGTGGCATGATCACAGCTACTCATCTGCCAATTTCTTTAACCAGCCGTCAGTAACGCTGCCTCGCAAAAACATCAAGGAGGAGCCTCTCAGCGATGATGATGGATTCCGGCTGGAAGAAGGGGAGCTGAGTCGTGATGAGCTGCGCGCCCGTGCTATGTGCCTGCCATTCTCTGTTCTGCAGATAGTTAACATGCCTGTTGAAGAGTTCCTGGAAGTTCTTGATGGTCATGGCTTTTCCCCTGAACAGGTGACCCTCCTGAGGGACATCCGCAGGCGTGGTAAGAATAAGCTGGCAGCCCAAAACTGCCGCAAGCGCAAATTAGATGCCATCACTGGGCTCCAGGAGGAGGTGGAAAGGTTGCAAGTTCAGAGAGACAAACTGCTGAGGGAGAAGCACCTTACAGCAAAAACAATGGGTGCTGTGGGCCATCAGATAAGGCAGCTGACCAGAGACATCCTGTCCCGGCTGAGGGATGAATCAGGAACACCCCTGAACCCAGACAGATTCACCCTGCAGTGCGGGGCTAACGGTAGGGTTGTAGTTCAGCCTGTAAGACGACCTGCTGTCTCCACATCTGGCAACAAAACAGACAAGAGAAAGAAGGAAAAAAAGCAATAATGCAGCATTTCCTGCTGAGACTTGATCTTTTTGGTTTTGGGATATTGCGGAACCTAATTGCCTGACTCTGGTTTTAGGGACTCCTGTTTTGCTAAAGTGTGTGTTGATTCACCACTGTTGAGAACCTAAATGCAAAAAGAAAAGACACTCAAAAAATAAGTAAAAGAAAAAAAAAATGTAAATATGTTATTTGATCGTAAAAATGTAGATCACACACTGGACATTCTCTTCTTGTTAAAGGTGGATGTGGCCGATGGGGTAGTTTAAGGGAACAGCTAAGCTGTTGGTAATGCCAGCAGTCTCTTTGTGCCTGTTAACATTAAAGTCATAGTCTTTCTCATTTTTACAGAAAATTGTAGGCAATCACGCATGTTTAAAAGTCAGCTTGGCCAGGATTGTGATATTTCCAGACAGGATAGAGATCTAAGAGGAGTATTTACCTGTAATCTTGCCTTTAGTGTTTTCCTACTCGGTATAAGAACGAGGTTAAAGGGTTGTATTTATTAAACTTTCTTAGGTCCATGAAATGCTTATAGAACTGTTAAGGACGTTTTCCCCCCTCTCCCAAAATGGTAAACTTTGGTCAGCGTGATAAGAATATTGGGTTATTACAAGTCCAAAGTTTACTGATTTGTTCCCAGTATTTGAGGGCATGCACTGTTTAAGTAAAAAAAATAAACTGAAATAAAAAAAATCAAATAGATGTCTTTTGCTTACATGTCTTGATGACGTGCAGTATACCAATGACTCAAAGGACTTGGCCTTAATTTGCATTTAATGTGTTTTGGTAAATACGTATGTACATCATACATAAGTGCATATATCCATAACAAAAAAGTTCTTGCATAAGAATTCAACTATAGTTTAACCCCTTTCATTTGAAGTGTTTTAGAGTTTTTGGCAAGATTATTCTACCTCACAGCTTAGTTTTTGTTAATTTTGGCTACATAAAAAAAAAAGCCCTCACCCCGCTTTGCTTTTTTTCTTTCTTTTTTTTTGTCTTTTGAAGTGCACTCGATAACAACAATTTCATTATAAATGTGACCGTAATCACACATAAAAGATTCAGTTTCTGAAACAGGAAAAATAGAATCACCAACTTTATTTAAAAGGTCTGAATGCTGTTTGAATGTATGTGTTTGTTTGTTTGTTTGTTTGTTTGTTTGTTTGTTTGTTTGTTTGTTTGTTTGTTTGTTTGTTTGTTTGTTTGTTTTTTAAAGAATATTTATTATCTGAGTAGAATCAAGTGATATTAAAAGTCTGCATCTTATTTATGTGTACACACAAGTAGTCACCTGAGTGAGTAAACTGAAGAAAGATGCATAAAGTATTTGAATAGTGATCAATCTGAAGCACAATTTGAATGAACTGAAATTTTGACTTCTTTACAAGTACTTGTGAGTTTTTTTCTTTTTGGATAAATTTGATTCTCAGGCCCCAGTTTTGTTTTGTTTTTTTCTGGCTAAAATGTGAAATTCTCTAAAGTGCACTTGTTTAATACAAATCCTTCATTATCAAAGTCACCCCAATTAAACAAACTGCTAAAAAAAAAAAAACCCTAAATAATAAATTACTGATTGATATTTAAGAAGTTTGAATGATGTTTGGATGCCTCCTTTTTATATGTATAAGATTTTTTGGCAGTTGAAGTATTAATAGAGGTCGCCGCCCTGTTCCTGGTTATGCTGCACAATAAGTCAGCTGAGTGAGTGAAATTGAGAAAAGTCCATGAGGTAGTTTATGCAGCTTTCGGTTTTCTTTTTTTCTTTGTTTGTATTTTCTTGTTTGGCTTGAACCTTTTGTTTGCTGTTTGTATGAATTTTGTTTTCGTAAATATTTGCTTTGTTTCTGAAGTTAAATGTGTTTGATTCCATTGTGATTTTTGAAAGTGTGCGTTTGCTTACAGAACTTGAGTTGCTCCTGCAGACTTTTTAAAATAAAAAGAAATCTTTTGAAATACTTTTGAATGGCCTTGATTTTAAAATCAGCATATAGGAACATATTATTCAAAAAATGCAGTCTTAAAATATCAATGGATATTATAGATATCTATTGATCTATTATAGATTAGGGATTACAAACATAAGGCCTGGGGGCAAAATTGGCCTGGCAACAGATGCAATCTGAGCCACTGGACAGCTTTTTAAAATGTGATGGATGGTACACATTTTGGATTTTTTTTTAAACTGTATTTTCCGTGTTTTACAGCTTTTCTTAATGATAAAAATCCTACTCCCATCACTATTCACACCAATTTGAGTAAGTCATAGGTAATATTAGATAAAAAAAACTTAAATGACAGAAACGTTTCTGATTTCTGCAGTGCGTTCACAGTAAATAAATAAATAAGGATATAGTCTATCAATAAACAAAACCTTTCTATTATATAGTTACAGAACAGTCTGGGCAATGAGCAACCATAACTACACATGCATTTCCTACAATCTTAGATTGTAGGATTGTTTGTTTGTTTGAAATAAATTAACAAACAAACAAACAAACAATCTAAGCCAAAAGAGTCGTGCTGACTGAGTTCTATTTAATACAGCTTAATTTCTTTATCATGCAAAAATAACCAGCATATGCTGTTGAAATTGCACTTCTTTTTCTTATATTAAGATTCTGCAGACATTAAAGGTGTAATTAAACCTCTTTACACTGGTCCGGCCCACGTGTAAACAAAATTTTCTGCATGTGGCCCACGATTCAAAATGACTTCGATATCCCTGATGTAGAGTTCTAGGCTTCATCATCCACAGGTTTTGGAGAGCGAAAAGCGTTTTCTAACCGGGCTTCCGTAGATGGTGCACAAGTATGCGCACAAGAATGCGCGTGAGTAGCTTTTGGCGCCCGTGCTGTTGAGCCACACTTTTGTAGACATAAAGAATCAACTGACCGCGTGGAAAAGAAGTGCCGTTGGAGCGATTCTCTTGTTTTAGGGTATGTATGCAGATACCGACTTGTTTAAAAAAAAAAAAAAAAAAGGTTATCATTAACAGAGGTGTCAGAGTTAATTGGTTCACTGTAACAAAATAGCAGTATATGCTAGCCAGTTGTTTTACCATCTGACGCTATCTCGAATGAGAGAGAAACGCTCTGTTAACTACAGTTGCAGTACTTTAACTTAAACAGGCAAGCGAAAAGTAACAGTGTCTGTTCCTTGTAATGCTGTAGTTGTATCATAGATCTTAAGATTATGTATCCGTTTCTAAAACGTCGAGTGTCGCATTAAACTTGAGTACGTTATTGTTAGCGCAAGTTACGTTAACGTTACCCGCACGTTTTTTTTTGTGCCAGCGCACCTATTTTAAGTCCCTCCGCATTGCAGTTGACACAATAAAAGTGAAGTAGGTTTTCCCTAACGGTTAAAGGCCAGCTAAAGTTAGCATGCGAGCTAACGTTATAAGAATTTGGCTATCTTTGAATACTTTAAGAGTTTATCGCTAAGCTAGCTAATGCTACGTTTTTACTTCCCTTTGGTGGCCATCCCTTTGTCAAGGTTGCCTAATTTTAATACCCCAATGGGCAAATAACAGTCTTCACAGTTAAATTCGTTTACGATCCAGGTGTCTGTGGCGGCTTTAGGGCCTATGGCCAATCCTAAATGTGGATATCAGGAGCACATGAATGTGAAGGATTTGTTATTATCAAATTCCTTTTTTTGTTTGTGTTTTTAGATCACAAAATGGGAAAGAAGCAGAATACCAAGAGTAAGAAGGATGCACAGGATACACAGGAGGAACCTGAAGAATTCGTTGTGGAAAAAGTGCTGGACCAGCGTGTTGTGAATGGGAAAGTAGAATTCTACCTCAAGTGGAAAGGATTTACAGAGTGAGTTGGCTGGGACTCCTGCCCCCCTCCTGCTGAGCTGGAAGTGCTTCCCTGGTATGGGGTTGTGCTAAACTTTTGTTTGAAGTCATTGTGGTTGCATGAAGACGGTGCCTTCATTCAAGCAAGCTAGCTGATGCTAGTATTTGGCTTTTTTTTTTTTTCCTAAATGGAAATCAGTGTGAATTGATGCAATGCAATCGTTGACTCTCTTTCTGCTTGTTTAGTGCTGATAATACTTGGGAACCAGAGGAGAACCTGGATTGCCCTGAGCTGATTTCAGCATTTTTGGAGGCTCAGAAGAACGTTAAGGAGAAACCTGCACCTGTTAAGAGGAAGGCCTCCACGGAAGAGCCAGAGACTGAACCTAAGAAGAAGGATGTGGTGAGTTCCTTTGCTTTCACAAGTTTCTGCAATTAGCATGTCCTAGAGACAATTTAAATTTAGAACCGTCAAGCTTAACATGAGGGCCATTCAGAGAAAGGGTTGCATAACTTAAACAAAGACGAGCATTATAATAAATGAATGTATTATAAATAAATCATATTTGTGCTTAGCTAGGGTGGTGTGTAGACATTTAACTTAGTATTATACTTGTATAATTGTGACAAACCTAATTTTGAATAAGTCACTCAGACCATTCTCTTGAAATGCAGCTGCTTCTGAACTTATGCTAGAAAGTGCAAGGATTTTAAATGAATCAAATTGTGTTGTTTTGTTTCCTTCCCATCTTATATGCCTACATTCTCTGTTGTAACCACCTACAGGCTGAGAAACCACGTGGTTTTGCTAGGAACCTCGAACCCGAGCGAATCATTGGCGCAACAGACAGTAGCGGGGAGTTGATGTTCTTGATGAAATGGTACATTTTTATGCAATATTTCTGGTCATTGAAGAAAAAAAAAAAATCTCATATCTTTGTCTCCTTGGAAGCAAAATATAATGAAATGACTGTTAGTTCAAGACCTTTGCGCAGTAATGTTTTGTTAATCTAGGCAGTGTAAGTCATAGGATGGATGTGCATGGTAGTCACTGGTGTTTCATGCTACAATGGACGGCCAGTGAATTCAAAAGTATTGAGTGCTATGATTTCTGGATCCTTCGCAGTACAAATAATTATCCTGAAATATTGTAATAGCAATCAAAGAAAGTTTAAACTGAAGGAAGTGTAACTGAGTGGAAGTACTTGGATAATTGGATGTTGTTGTTTTTTTTTTTTGTTTGTTTTTTTTTGTTTTTGTTTTTTTGTTGTTCTGTTTTGTTTTTTGATTTATTTTTAAGTTGTTTGCATTTGAGCTCTTAAAAATTGGAAACTTTCTTTGTTTCAC